ATTAGCGCCGTGCCACTTGCAGCCAGTAGACCAAAGAAAAATATCACTGCATCTTCGTGAAGGGAATAATAATGAGTAGGTGAATCATTGGCACCATTCGGCGTCACTGTCAGTCACCAGGGACTTTGCCCATTCACATATGTAAATAATCAACAAAGCACTGTACAGTTCAATACATTGTAAATTACTCACAAATGGCATGCCTTGTTGAGTTAGAAATTCCGCTTTGCCTTGGATTCTGTAGGGGTTCAATGATGTACAGCCAATGGCTCATCTATAGAATCTTGCCTGAAATTAACACAGATGAAGTCTATGCACGGCTTCCTGGTGACTTTCGGTTGTTTCGACTCATACAAGAGGCATCGTAGATTGTATGGAAACGTCATTTACTGCACAAGCCATTCAGCGTTCCCGTTCAGCCCCCGCTTCTCGCGCCCTCAATTACAACTAAGCTTGGTGCTTTTGCCGCTTTATTACTGCTTCCAGCGCCCTCACATCTGGAGTAGCTTAACGTCATTTAGAGCATCTGTGCTGCACAGCGGACGGCGAACGATGTAGAAGCTTAGACCCAGTGGTACTTCAGGCCTTAAAAATAGCCGCGTTTTTCCATTGTCCACTGCGAAAGACAATGAAAGACTGTAGTCTTCTGTATAGAGGGTACTGCGTGAGTTTTGGTGCCATGTAGCAGTATTGTGAAGATGAAGGACGGATGAATGAACTTTATCTGGTCCTTTTAACGTGCTTTAGCATGCTCCTGGCCACTCCCACATCGGAAGAGAAAGACTAAGTCTCTCTGCTGCATCGCGGGCCCGATGGAATGCACGTAGCTGTTGTTCAAGCCCCGAGCTTGCAATCGTACCCTCTGATTTGTACGGCGTGATGACTTCCCCATTGCTTAACGTAGGGCGTCCCCAGAGCTTACGTTCTAAGGTAGCTATATCGCGGCAGTAGGAACATGTATTAGTTGGCATATTTTGGGATAAATTTTGTTCAATAGTGCGGGATTAGGGTATGCCCCGACGTGGAGAATCTTGAGTGTCAGAGACTGAGGTCTGCTTAGTTTTTTTGTGTGGTAGAGGATATTGTCTCCACGACATGTAAAAATGTTTTGTCAATTCATTACACGAGATGGGAGGGTGACTGTTCGCTAAGACATCAGTGCCGCACCCCCCGTCAGCTACGTGATTTACTACAGTCCTCGCGCGGCTATGTGGTCTGACTCGTTCAGATAGAGCGGGGCACCTTCAACGCGTCCCATATGAGCTGGGAACCAAACGAGTGTGTGTGGCTCGATGTGTTCGTCCCGAAGAATTTGCAAAGCTAGTTCCGATATTGTTCCCCTGGCAAATGGTCGGACCGCTGATCTCGAGTCGCTGTAAATTGTGGCTTCCTGTTATCCAACAAGGTCAACGCAATCGCCACTTGCTCTGATATTTCAGCCACCGTCACCCGGACTGTTGTCGAGTTGCTGATACCACCCTCGTGGTTGGTGCTAACTGCCGCATACGCCTTCCCCTCGGGATATCTGGCCTCATTGACGAAGGAGCAGTCCCAGGCATGTTCTTGAGCTCTACGTAGTAGAGCCTTTATCCTGGCCCGCCTTCTACCCTCATTATTTTCTGGGTGGACATTTCGCGGGATGCGGAAGAGGATGATTTGTTCTCGTTGTTGCAAGGAATGCGGCAGAAGTGAGACTTGATTTCCATCGGTGGAATACCCAGCTTCCGCAGGGTGTTTCTACCACAACGCGTGGTGGACAGCCTGGCAAATGGCGCCCTCTACTGTGCCTCTCTGATTTCTTCCAGCGTGTTGCCTACACTCATTATTCTCTGGGTGAACATTTCGCGGGATGCGTACAAGGATGATTTGTTCTCGTTGTTGCAAGGAATGCGGCAGAAGTGAGACTTGATTTCCATCGGTGGAATACCAAGCTTCCGCAGGGTGTTTCTACCACAACGCGTGGTAGACAGCCTGGCAAATGGCGCCCTCTACTTTGCCTCTCTGATTTCTTCCAGCGTGCTGTGCACACCGAAACGAAAGAGTCTATCCGTGCTTGTGTACATGGTGAGTCCGAGAGCACTCTTGATGGCCTTACTGATTAGCGTGTCGTGCTTGTCACATTCTGATTTCTGCCAGTTGTGCATGGCTGCAACGTAGATGAAACGACACATCAGAAGGGCGTGCACCAGCTTTACGAGGTTAGGTTCTCCAAGTCATTGTTGCCTATTGGTATTCCTTCTTATTAGTGTGATGGCATTGTCAGTCTTTCTGGCGAGACTCATGACTGTCAGGCTATTGAAGCTGTTCGACTGAAGGGTCATACGTAGAATCCGGAGGGAGTCCACCCTGGGGATCAAGCTGCCCTCATCTGCTCTAAGAGTGATGTCAGTATCCTCTAATGGCATCCACACACTTGGTTTAGGGCCCCTGCGCTTGGGCCTGTACAGAATCTGTTCCAATTTTTGTGGCGACCACCGAAGACCAGTCGGTTTAAGGTAGTTTTCCATGATCTCAATCGCTTCCTGTCGCATAGCCTCTATTCACTTATCGCTGCCACTGGTACAGCATATGGTGATGTCATCAGCATAGATGGTATCGTTAATGCCATCCACTTCGGGGACTCTTTGAGACAGACCGATCATGACGAGGTTAAAAAGGGTCGGGGATAGTACTGAGCCTTGTAGCGTCCCTCTAAAATCAAGCTCTACCGGATCCCAAACAAGATCACCCGTCGTGAGTATAGCCTCTCTCTCAATCAAAAATGATTCTATGTAGCCGTGGAAGCGATTGCCAAGCCCAAGGCTTTAGATCTGACTCAGCACGAACTGTTGCAGAACGTTTTCAAATGCCCTCTCCAAGTGCAGTCCCGGGATGGCTCTTATGTCCCTTGTGTTCGTATCAACAACTTGATATTTGCTTAGTTTCATGGCGTCTTGCATCGAAAGGCCCGCCCTGAAGCTTATCATGTTGTGGAGATAAATGTCGCTTTCCTCCAGGTATCGGGTAACCCTGTTCAGGATAGCATGTTCAGCCACCTTACCTATGCATGATGTCAGGTGGATAGGCATGAAGTTGCCGAGGCTGTGAGATTTGCCTGGTTTGGGGTTGAGAATGGTGGTGGTCGTCTTCCACATCTCTGGGACACCCCCACTCTTACACACCTGGTTGACAATATCCATCACATATACCACAGACCTGTCGCACAGGTTTCTCAAAGCCCTGTTGGTGATGTTATCAGGACCTGGGGCTGACCTACCATTTAAGTCATGCAATGCATGCCTGATCTCCTCGCTTCCAAATCCTGCGTCCAGTACTGGGTTAGCACCTCTTTGGTAAATGGGAGCCGGAGGTGGCGGGACGGAAGCGATTGGCAAGTACTTCCCATACACTTCTGCCAGTACTTGGTTGTCTGAGGATTCTTGCTTTATTGCGTAAAGTGTGCGAGTCGGCGTGCACCTCTGGTTCAATTCTGTGTTAGTGTCTTCCAACAGGTGCTCCAAAGGCCTGCCCTGTGGATTTTGCCGTCTACCGAATTGCAAATATTGTCCCATTGTTCTTTAGAAAGAACCTTACAGTGTTCCTCGATGCTTTTGTTCACCTCGGTAATCTTCTTGCGAAGTCCGCCATTGAGGCCCTGCCCTTTCCACTTGGCCAGAAGGGACTGTTTGGCTTTGAGAAGATGAACCACTCTGCAGCCCATCTTTTTTACAGGCAAGCCCGTGGTGCCTTTCTTAGCGGTAGCCAGGATGTTGTCTCTTATCGGCGCCGTCCAGAGTTCGAGGTAAAGTTTCTCCTCATCCTCAGAACTTTCCTCTCTTACTTTGTGGAACAAGTTCCAGTCGGTCACTCTGAACTTACGTGGTCTAGCCTGTCCTATTTGCAGAACATAAGTGAGGAGGTGATGGTCGCTGCCAAAGTCCACGTTGAGGTTAGACCGCTTGACCTCGACCACGTTCCGGCCGAAGATGAGGTCTGGTGTCGTGTCCCTAGTGGACGAAGTACCACATCTTGTAGGGAACGCAGGGTCCCTGACGAGTACTTGGTCCTGGTTCAACACCACCATCCACAGATCCTCCCCCCTTAAGAGTGTCGTACAGACAGCTCCAAGCATGCTAGTGTGCATTGAAGTCACCCCCCGCTATAATCACCGGGAAGCATCTAGACGACCTTAGATGGAAGAGCCTTGAAGCGCTGTCTGAAGTGCTTAGGGCTGCTGTACACATTGAGAATGAAAATACCTTCTTTATAAATAGATCCAGGGATGATTTCTATCATGATGTGCACAATTTTGCGCGAACCCATATCAAGAGCGTGGATTACGTGGGCCATCTTGTTGCTTATAAGAGCCCCAACGCCTCTTCCTTTTTCTTTGTGAAAGAGCGTTAACAGAGTAGTGTAACGTAATGGTTTCAGTTTCTTGCAAAAGTATGACATGTGGTTTTTCAAATTGTGAGTGAATAGAGTGCTGCAAAGGGTTCCTTTCTTGAAGAAACTCCCTTCTGTTCCACTGCCACAATTTGAATGCACTAATTCGGGCAGCCATTCTGTTGCTGTGGTGACTGGGCCGTTGGATTATTTGTTGCCGGCAGTGGCATTGCTCTGAGATCTACGACAGGTGCGATGACGTTTTCTTGAAATGACTCTATTTTGGCAAACCGCTGATTGTGCCTTTCCTCCGTGGCTAGTATGTTGCCCTACATGTGCGAGCCCGTCTTGCCTAGTTGTTTTATGCTCTTGCTGAGTGAAGACAGCAATTATCGGATCTCTGGTCGAGCTCTACAAGAAGCTTCGTCCTGTTCGCCAACTATGGCACTCTTTTTGACCGTCCTATCCGTCTTGCAAGCCCCAACTATGGCCATTTTCGTTGAATTAGTTCACGCAGTGACGGCCTTCACGGGCTGTTGGCCTCCTCCCACTCCTAATCTCAGATATCTCAGTCGTAAGTCTGGCTATGGTCTCCCTCATTTCTTTTTTTCGCTTTACAGTTGTGCTAGCCACTTGTTATTCCTTTGATGCTTTGGTGGCGGACCCCGCGTTACCTTTTCTGGTGCAGCTTTGACGGACATGGTCCACCCATGATGGCTGGCCCCGGTTTTGCTTATTTCCGGACCAAGATCTCGTCATCTGGAACGACACCTGTACTTCTCCATAACGGGAGCTGAAGCAACCCTTGGATCGGTACCTGGATGCGGGTTTGTTGCAGGGGCACCCTCTGGAACGGGACCGCTCTGTGGACGACGATTTTCCAAGAGACGCCCCCCTCCAGCGTCCTCTGGAGGGGGGCGTCTCTTGGAACAGGAGCGCCTGTTTCGCCAGCTCCCCCTGCAGTCTCGGGAAAAAAAATGCCGCCATATCCACGAAGTGAATGATGATGAGTGGGCGAAGCTCCGGAGGTAAACCTGGTAAACCATGAATCCTCCGTACATTTTGCCCACTCGATTTTATTGCAACGCTCCCCCTAGCGTACGTCGCCGCACTATATCGAACGATGACACGCGCCATATGTGGCATCATTCCTATTTTATAACACCTCGCATCTTTCATAATCAACTACACGTACCGCCGTCTAGTTTATAACATCTTGCATCTTTTGGACGGACGGACGGACGGACGGACGGACGGATGGACGGATGGATGGATGGATGGACGGACGGACGGACGGACGGATGGATGGATGGACGGACGGACGGATGGACGGATCGATGGATGGACGGATGGATGGACGGACGGACGGACGGACGGACGGATGGATGGATGGATGGATGGATGAATGGATGGATGGATGGACGGACGGATGGATGGATGTACGGATGGATATGGCTGTACACTTTAGATCGGGCGGTGGCTAGCGTAATACTTAGAACTGAACGAGAGGTGGCTACATACTAGGGACGCACAGCCCACGCCTTAAGGAGCTTCGCTCCTAATAGGCACCAGGCCATGTCGCCACTGTCCTTGCTTCCAGAAGCTTCTGCCGCCTTCTCCAATCTTCGTCTCCTCACGACATATGGAAATGGTACCGTTGCCTGCAGATTTTGTCTGCTGTTATGTGCGGTACTCCACACAACTTGCATTCTGGGGCGAATTGATGGTGATTGCCTAAGTTCGAAGCCCCGCAACATCTGCACACTGTTTCGTTGGGACTTGGGCAAACGTCGGCTCGATGACCAAGCCTTCCACAAGTGTTGCAGTTGTCAGCCTGCTTGCGATACAGAAAGCACGGCACTAACACTGGGCCATTACGCACAAACGTCGGCACTTTTAAACCACCAAAAACCACAATAATGAAGCCAGTGGTTCTGGTGCGTAATAAATCTCCAGTGGTTCTGGTGCGTAAAAAAGACTATTCCATACGATTTTGCGTCGATTACCGAGCACTCAATAAGATCACTAGGAAGGACGTATACCCCATGCCACGTATCAACGACGCCCTCGATTACTTACAAGGTGCTGAATTCTTTTCAAGCCTCGACTTGCGTTCCGGCTATTGGCAAATACTCATGCACGAAGATGACAAAGAAAAAAAAATTGCCCGAAGCTTCCCTCGGGGGAACACTGAGGAGGATGCGGAGCATATAATTGGTTAACGGGGTGTTAACGTGCGACTTACTTGGGTCGATGGCTAAATTGGTTAACGTGGTTGTGAAATGGGGTGTTAAATTGCGACTTACTTGGGTCGATGGCTAAATTGGTTAACGTGGTTGTAGGAGGGGGTCTTAAATGAGTGAACACGTACACACGTATGCGAAAGGGCGGCGCTGGTTGAAGGGACGTCGATCATTGTGTTTGTGGATTCGTTGGAATCCATTTCACCGCGACCTTGGACGTCGACGCGCCGTACAAACCAACCGACGAGCGGCAACTGAGCGAGCGAGCGCCGACCTTGAGTATATATACAGCGCGACGGTGCATGCACTGTCAGCTGTCGAATGTTCGAGAAGGGGGAGAAGCGCAACGGCGCATGCGCGCGCGTCAGCTGCCGATATTCTCGAAGCGCGACGGCGCATGCGCGCGCGTCAGCTGCCGATGTTCTCGAAGCGTGACGGCGCATGCGCGCTACATTATACAGCTAGCGAATGTTCGTGAAGAGGAGAAGCGCACGCGGTGTGTAGAGGAGGAAGGGTGCACAGATGGTGGAGGAGTGAAGCTCACGCGGTGTGTAGAGGAGGAAGGGATGCACAGATGGTGGAAGAAGGAGGAGGAAGTTTGCGGACGGCGCCACACTACAAGCCTCGAGTATTAGATGCTCCGCATCTAAAACTGCGTTTACAAGCCCGGACGGCCTATACGAATTCAACGTTATGCGGTTTGATCTATGCGATGCGCCCGCAACTTTTGAGCGCTTGATTGACACCGTGCTGTGTCGCCTGAAATGTAAGACTTGCCTATGTTACCTCGATGACTTTGTTGTCTTTTCATCGACGTTTCCTCAACATCTGCAACGCTTGGACGAGGTCCTGACTTGCCTTGCGGGCGCTGGTCTTCAAGTTAACACCAAGAAGTGCCATTTCGCCAGCAGATATATCAAGGTCCTCGATCATGTTGTGAGCAAGGACGAAATTCGTCCAGACCCTGAGAAAACTGCTGCGGTGCTTCGCTTCCCTCGCCCTGACAAGCCGAAAGATTTGTGAAGTTTCCTTGGTCTCGCCTCCAACTTTCGGCGATTCATACAAAACTTTGCCTCCATAGCCACACCACTCCATAAGGTACTTGCTTCTGGTACGACCTTTCAGTGGTCTCAGGAATGTGAATCGGCTTTCGACAGGTTGAAGAGTGCCCTCACGACCGATCCTGTACTTTCTCATTTTCACGATGGTGCACCGACCTTCCTCTATACAGACGCTAGCGGCCACAGTTAAGGAGCCGTGCTTCTGCAGCGCGGCAACTCTTCGCGAGAGCGAGTCGTTGCGTACGCCAGCCGCGTCCTCCCCGCAGCCGAGAGGAACTACACGATCACCGAGAAGAAGTGCCTCGCCTACTGAGGTCATCCATGTCTCCCGTATGAAGCCCTTCATGCGACGTTCTTTGTCCCCTTGACTTGCCGCGGCCAAGCTGGCCGCTTTCACGTGGGGGCATCAGTGTAGGCATTTAGTATACCAATCCTCTTCATCTGTACATTATCATCATTATTATGTGTTGCCCATGCATCCTTATCGCTGTCACGTAGCATCATCATCTTGGTTCGTTCATCTTGGCTGTCGGCTGCCGGTAATCAGCGAAATGCCTCTGATTATCCCTTTGCACGTCGAATGCGGGGAAGCGTCATAAGCCTTCACTTCTTTGATTTTGCTCGCAACTTCAATTGTTTTAATCCTAGTATACCTTGACGAGTTTTCCCAGTGTGGTGTGCTGAGCGCGAAAATATTCTGGTGCAAGTTTGGGCACATGACGACACTGGTAGCTTTGGCTTCGTCAATCACCGACGCCTTCATTATTGTTATGGGCACCCGGCAATGCAATTTACGAGATCTGATGGCAGCGCCAGAAAACACAGCCTAGCGAGTAGACACAGCAAAACCGAACTTCCACGTTCATATTGTTTTCTTTTTTAGTTGTGAGCAAGTGGTCATGGCTGAATATGTAAGCGCCCAGGAAGCGTTCTTTGCAAACGTGCCAAAAAGGGCACCGACACTTCGGCGTGTCACTGTGTTCAGCGAGCGTTCCATTTTCTTAGTATCCCTGGCGGTCGGTACCAACAATGATGAGGCGGCCCAAAGAGCTTCGTTGCGCCCTCTGGTTCACTGTCGGGTGCCTATACTCACGGTCCTCACTTTAACCTTAGAAACGTCAAGGCCCTCCTATGGCGAAGTACGATATTCGTGTCTTCCTTTTAGGGGCGAAGCTTCTTATGGCGTGGCTTGTGCGTCCCTCGTAGTAGGTAACCAACATTGGCACATACCCGAAATAGGTATAACATTTGTCCTCCAAGGTGGTGCCGGTGAGAGATTTCTTCTGTGCGTTGTTTAACAATAAAAAATAGTGCTCAATGTACATGCCAATGGCTGCTAATGGGGAAAGAGAGACAGGAGCATTCGGCTTTTAGTCAACGCGCACGCTGCGATCCCCATTAGCAGCCATTGGCATGTACATTGAGCGCTATCGGACAAGAAAGGGTTGCTACATTATACTCGCTGGGTATAACCTCCTTAGTTTTAGAAAGGTTTAGCGAGAATTGAGCAGCAGGACCATGAATACAATGAACTAGTATATACCATGAATGAATTCGAGGTGGTTAAAGGGGGGAAGCAGATACGAAGCGCAAGCCGTAAGAAATTAAAAGCTGAATCCTCCTGTCTCTCATTTTACATTAGCAGCCACTGGCATGTGCATTGAGCACTATCTGACAGGAAAAGTTTGCTACGTTATACTCGCTGGGCGTAACCTCCTTGGTTTTAGAAAGGTTTAGCGAGCATTGGGCCGGAGTGTCATGAATACAGTGAACTAGTATATACCATGAACTCAAGGTGGTTGAAGGTGGGAAGTAGATCCGAAGCGCAAGCCGTAAGAAAGTGTGCGTGTGCCACCTCTCGTTTAGTCCTTGGAATGTCCACTGAATGGCGGTGCTTCTATATGGGGATTATATGATAAAAAGATGCGAGATGGTGGGACTTGGAGTGTTGAAGAGATGGACGAATGGACACACAGACAGATGAATGGATGGATGTATGAATGAACGCAGGGGCGGATGCATGAACGAACGCAGGGACGGGCGCATGAACAGACGCATGGACGGTCACACAGACGGACGCATGGACAGACGAATGCTTCGCCCCACTCTCCATCATTCACTCCGTGGATATTCTGCCATTTTTTTTGATCGCACAGTCACTGGTAGGTAGCAAGATTTTAGCGAGCCTTAAAAGAAACCCACTTTTTCGTTCATAGCGTCGCATTGTCACCGCAGCGTAAATAAAACTTCAGTTTTTCGAACTACGTACGCTCACGTTCTCTAAATAAGGAGACACATTGACTAAACTTACGCATTTATGTTCTGCCTGAAATATGCGTCAACTTTTTTGTAGATTGACAATGCTCACAAGTATCAACGAAGCCACCGGATCAAAATGGTTGGTCGTTTAACAAGAGGAAGGAATTTTTTTGCGTTGGATCGCTGCCCTCATGAAGCATTCTTCAAGTTGCGCAGGAGAGCCAATATGGCAATATTTGAAAAGCCCAGTTTCTTCACATATTAAAAGCGATTGCTGATAGGATACTGTTACTTCGAAAAAAAAGTGTGCAAGTGTGTCATTAAATGATCAAAATGACGTAAGGCGAATGGAAAACGCTCAAATGTTACGAAAATTTATATCTTTCTTACTTATAACAATGCACAACCAATACCCCGAATTAAGAAAAACGTGACAAAATCATAGGCACACAAAGCACGCAATGTCTACAAAAAAGTTGTTTCATCAAGGTTCAGCCAGCAATTTTCAACAATGCGTGCTCCTACACAATCCACAGGAAAGCTTTACCGCGATACACAAAGCGCGTCTGCCTGAGCGCATGTCGCGAGTCAGTTTCATTCTGTGAACATGTATGTGGTCCACTTTGCCCAAACCTCTATCGCGCACCACTGCAACAAGGCATGCACGTGAAATAATAAACTTCACTTACTGAAGAGCTAAAACCAAGTTTTGCGCACGAGAAAGACTTCAATGAACTAACGAACACGTAGAAGGAAAATAAATCGTTAGCCCTGCGGTAGTGGACGTCCCATGGGAGAGCTTAATGGATACCGCAAGCTTTGTTGCTGAATGCTGCTTGTCCTGCAATTGCCAGAGACCGGCCGTTGACAGCCTATTAGAGGAGAGATCGGTCCCGAGCCTCTCATTCGTCCCTGGTGGCTGAACGCCGGACCTATAAATACGAATGCATCCCTGGGGAGAGATCTTTCCGTGAACAGAAACCGACTGGATGACTTTTCTCACGAACGCGTGAATTTCAATACAATACTTTAGTTTTGCGTTTCATTCTTCTTTCAGTTCTCGTGGTTAGACCAAAGCTTTCCTCTTATTCCATTGCCTGGTGTAGGTATTTAGGTATGCTTTTATTGCGGTAATGTATTACTTAAGAGCAGCACTGAACGCCTGTATTTTTTCTCTTTTACTTTAGGATTTATTTTTGAACTGCACTTATGCAGAAACAGCCCTCAGCAAGCACCTAAAAGCACCCGAAGTAGTATTGAGTAAACCGACGCCAAAGTGAATCGATGCAACACATATATAGAATGTGTGATGCTTCTTGTTGTGGAAGCGGAATAGTTATGTACAATATCAGTGACGTGGTTTCTGCGATTTAGTTGTGCTTTTCCTGCAACAACAACAATTATGTCGGAAATCTTATCATGTTGTAGCCCCTTAAATCGGCATTCTCACACAACAACGAATGGCAAGCTGGGACAAATCTCTTCGTATTGCCGACACTAAAATCACGTGACAGGAGTTGAAGCCCGGAGGCGCACGCACCACTCACTGACCTAGAAGGGTGGACGGCAACGGAAAGCGAGGTGTCAGTGTGTACGGTCGCTGCTATAACAGCGCAAAAAATAGAATAATAAACTATTAGGAGGCGCGAATGGTTTGAGACGTATTGTTGCTGAAGAAACGCAATTCCTATCAAGCCCTTTTCAATTCCCTGTTATTATCCTAACCAGAAAGTGCGAACGTTGACTCTGAAATCCAAATCTAATACCTATAGGTGTTTGTAGATGTTTCTGTTTACGCTTACTTTAAATTCGTCATACTGCATCCTATTAGCTGTTTCAGTTTGCGTCTGTTTCCAGGTTTTATTCCAAATGCTAAAGAAAGTGGTTTGGTTTCTGCATCGCTTAACTAACCTGTGTTGCAGAAGCCTGGACAAAGACAACTATCTTCTATACTGCAATCCGTACCAGCTTTTCTGTCACACTTGCGCCGCAAGGGTTAAGCAATGAATGCGATGGCAATGCCTTAGAATGTGCCACTGAGAACTGCTAGCAGATTCAAACGTACAGAGCACCGCTCACGAACAAATGACGCACGAAAGTAGCACACATAGGATGAGAGCGAACAAACAATATCCACCACTCAACACTTAACGCGCTTTTTAAACAAAAACTACGCACGAAACGTCTTCGCAGGTAAAGATGAGCGCTCAATAACAAGTGTCCCAGTTTTTATGCTTCGCAGTGTATGAAAAGCGCGCTCTTATCGTGAACGGGGCCTGTGTAGCGAGCGAATTGACCATTGTGGGCTCTGCAAACTACACAATCGTTCCGGTGAGCGCCGAAGGCAACTCCCCACCGAACGATAAGCGTCCGCGTGCAAGCACTTAACCCCCCCCCCCTCCAGGGCACAGGGAAAAGTACCCGTAGGAGATAAGGCGCGTCGGTGCATTGTCAGTACCTGGGTGCCGAGCGCGGGCAGCATTTTAAAGATGGTAGTCTTTCTTGGGGATCTTCGACGCAAAATTTTTGGTCTGTCTGTCTGTCAGTATATTTGTCTGTTTGTCCACTTATAACAGCAAGGGGTACTTGAAACGGCCGACCCCATCCGCAGCGCCCACCAATGTGTTCAGGATTTAGCGTTCAATTATTAAGCAATTATTGTGCAAGTCTGGAGCCCCATAGCAACACGTATATATTCTGCATGAGCATCTTTTACAAGAAAATGCCTACTTAGTAATTTTAAGGACCGTAGGGCTTAGCACGCTGCGCTGAACACGCAACGCTTACGCGAAAAGGTGAGTCTTTCCAATGCTTTGCTAAGACGCGATGGTGGAAGCACCTCCCGTCGCCTTGCGTTCCTCACCATATCACCTCTGAGACGGGCGCGCGCACCCGTCTCAAAGCCACGCGCTTCGTTTTGCAAGAAGACTGCCAGGTGGCGCTCATGTCTCACGTGTAACGTGAGTTGATGCGCTTGTTCTCCGCCGCTACACGCTTGAGGCACTCTGAGGCCGCGTTCACACTAAGCATTCCGGCCGCCGAAAGTGCTCCGAATCCGGTTCGGCGGCGGCGAGATCCGCCGAAAGGGCCCTCTCCGCGCCGATTGCTCTCGGACCGATTTTTGCGGCGTCTGCCGCCGAATCGGTCACCGCAGACCAATAAGAGCGCTAGTCAAGGAACTTTGAAAAATGGCGGCCAAGCCCTACTCACTTGTTATACCGCAGTGCCCGTAACTGAATGTTGAAACCAATGGGAGTTTAACCTACTCTGTGCCAACTTCGCCTCCGTATTTCGTGAAAGAGATGACCGAGCTTGCTGTTGCCGTCACCGAGCTTGTTGCGGTCTTGCAGAGCAGAACGAACCCACCAACGCCGCTGGCGTCGGTGGTTTTTCTGCTCTTCTTGCATTACAAGACAGCCACTTGCCATCAAAGTAAGCAGTACTGTCTTTTCTTGCTTCTTGCGTACGAGAATCGTCGAAGTATACACCACCGGATAGCATAGTAGCGTTTGCGAGAAGTGACAACGGCAGGTGACAGCGCATCCGTCCAGCATTCGCCCCATGGTGAATGGCATATTCGGCGGCAAGGGGCGCGTCCAGTGCGAATGACGCTGCGTTTCGGCGGCAGGGGAATTGCGGTTGCCGTAGAAAGTGGATGTTTCAGTGTGAACTAGGCATAACGCAGCGCCTCCGAAATACCATTCGCCGATTTTCTTGCGCAGAACATCAAATTACTTTTTCACTCTCTCCACACGCAAGATTATCGTCTTTCGACGACATGTGCAGATACGGGGCCAATTTTTTATTTCTTTAGTTTTAATATATACAAAAAAAGTCGTAGCTTTGCCGATGTTGTGAGAACTGAGAATCGCAATGGCTACGCTGATGCAGAGTGTCAAACAGAGGTCACGTTTGTTCAGCGTCGGAGCTACAGAGAGTGAAGGCCCAACTTCGCAGCGTGAAGCAACAGCTTCAGTCATGTCAGCGGAAACTCACAAAAGCGGAGGCGCACGCGAATAGAAAGAATGGAGTGTACTGCAGATATTCACAAGCTTTCAGACCGCGAGAAGCTCATTATAGACCAGTGCATCATGAAAGCAAATATGAAGTCTGCGAAAGCAGCACGGTAAGATCCGGTTTGTAAAGTTTGTGTGTGTGTGCAATTTTATGTGAAGTGCGATGTTCGGTGCGCATTCGTTTGCTTTCTGGATATTGACAGAAACTACTAAGTGAAGCCGTGGGACAAAACGCAATATTTTGTTTTACTTTGATGGTGCTGTTTGCTTGAGCTGTAGCAGAATCGTGACCACAAAAATTGCATTTTATTTATTGCAGGTATAAAAAGGAATGGCTTTACGATTGTTTACTGCTGAAATCAAATCCACAGCAGTTTATACATTTCTTCACGAGAATAATTTTCTGCCTCTACCACACCCTCGCACACTCTACTCCTATCTGAAAAATCTGAAGGCCGGCTTCGGATTTGATGAAAATTTATTTGACATCCTCAAAGACAAAGTGGAAAAGATTCCAAGAGAGAACGGCGAGGTTTTTATCTTTTTTTTTCTTTTGCATTTGATTTTCTGGACTCTAGGTAAAGAGCTGAAATATTTTTTTTCTTTAGGTGTCCTCATGTTTGATGAGATGAGCGTGAGAAAGAGCCTTCACGTCAGGGAATCGGATATGGCACTGCTTGGAAAGGTGGACTTAGCAGAGCACACGAAGCCGACTGACCAAGTGAAAGATGGGGACCACGTGTTGGTGTTCCTTTTCCGACCATTCCTTGGTGGCTGGTCGCAGACTGTCGGAGCGTTTTGCACGTCCGGGGCTGCACCAGGATCCACTGTTGCCAAACTGATCCTGCAGTGCATTGTACTCCTATCGAATGCCGGCGTCATTGTGGAGGCAGTCACTTGCGATAACTCAACTTCGAACCGATCAGCACTGAACTCCTTGGGTAAATATTTGCAGTCATTATTTATTTTCAAGGTATTTAGTAAGTGATTTTAATAATAGAAATGCCTTTCTTTTAGGTGTCAGTGGTGATGTCACAAGAGTATCAACAATCGTTTGAGCATCCATGTGACTCCTCCAAAGTCATTCAGGCTATAATTGACCCGCCGCACATCTTCAAGTGCATCAGGAATAACCTTTTGAAGGCCGGAAAGTTCCTGGTGCGTAAAACAGTTTAAGATAAGTCATCACAGTGCTCTGGCTAACTTGTCTCACAGCCTTTTTATAAATGTAACAGTTGCCTGGTGACAAAGAAGTACAGCATTCCCACTTTGAAGCTCTGCTGGACTACGAGGAGCAGCAAGCTGGACTTCGGGCTGTGCCAAAGCTTACGAAAGCTCACATCAGCCCCAACGCTTTCCAAAAACTGAGTGTGAGACTTGCTGTCCAGGTAAGACATAACAGCTGCTCTAGCATGAGTCATTAATCAGTATGTGTAACAAAAAGTGGTGTTGCTTCATCAGAATACAACACTCTGCCATATAACTTCTCTAAAACATTTCAGCTCTTCAGTGAAAGCACTGCTTCAGCAATGGACTTCTATCGCAGTAGAGAAGAATGTGTGAAACTTCGTGGCTCCAAAGCAACTTCGGATTTTGCGAGGCGAATGAATAGTCTATTCGACTGCTTCAATTCTAAAAGGCCACAAGATGTGCAGTACAATGAAGCGGAACACATTTCTGTAAGCCCTAATATTTCAAACCTACTGTCACATCCTTTGAAGTTCCACTTAAATCAGATTGTTTTTCAGACGCTGAAGGAGAACATCGAATGGCTTGACAGGTGGCACACTTACAACCAGAGTTTACCAAAGCAACTCTTCTTTCTCAGCAAGCCAACATGCAATGCTTTGAGAATGACTTGCACAGCACAGTGACGCTTGTTGAAAAGCTGCTGAATTGTGGCTTTCGCTATGTTTTAGTTGGCAACTTTGGACAAGACCACCTCGAGGTACATTTAAACGTTTTTGCTCGTTGAAGACGTTTTCTTCACACTTTTATATTTTTCAGAGATTTTTTGGCATCGCAAGACATGTCGCTGGAGCAGGGGGACAGCCAACTGTTCAGCAATTTTTGTTCATTTACCGGTTGCTCTCGGTGAACAACTTGATCCGTCCTCCACAGAGAGCCTCGGTTGAAGGGGATGGTCCGCGTCTCCTCTTGAAAATGCAGGATCTCTTTCAACATAAGAGCCTACTGTTAATCAGGTAAACATTTGAATAGCACCCACCAATGCTGCTTGTAGGGTGTTTGTGCATCGTAAACGTGCTGAATGTCGTCTAGCTTTTTGATGCTAATGACATGCACGTCTGGTCGTATGATATAGAACAGACTTTTATTCTGCTTAAGTAAAGTGTGGGATTGGGCTAGTTGGTAATCCATATAAAACTTCTAGGCGCGTAAAACTTCAGACAACTACATAAGAGACGAGGACGAGCGCAGACTTTCAACTGATTTATTACTACTACGACACACATATATATATTAGAAAGAAGATAAGATCACTTGCTTAAGCAAAAAAAAAAAAAAAAAAAAATTTTTTTTTTTTTTTTTTTTTTTTGCTTAAGCGCCTAGAAGTTTTATTCTGCATTTTTATATTTTACTTTACAAATTTCTCACTCTGGCCATTGTGATAACGCAAAATATGTTTCAGATTGATACCTTGGCAGTTCTTTTTGACGATATACTGCTGGAGCCTGCTGAATGCATGCAAGACATGATTCATCCCGAGTCAACGAGGGACTGTATTTTGGATTACCTTGGTGGGTATGTAGCAAAAAAGTTTGCTAAAATAAGCTGCAAGGACTGCCTCCAAACACTCAGAAGCAACTCCCGAGAGCCAACTGCATTGACTCAAATCAAGACAAGAGGATTTTTGCAAGTGCCATCGGAGAAATTACTGCGGCTCTTGCAAATTGTGGAAGAACATGTGGAAATGTGCACGGTGGACAAAATAGCCTGTGCCAGTGTTTACATGAACATTGTTGAGAACATCCTGCTGGACGACCGCACTTCTTCGGCCAGTGTTGGCTGTGGCTCACATTTCGTGAGCACTACGGCAGAAGTTGTGCACTTTTTTATTAAGTGCCGTCTGCATTTTTTTACGCGTGAGCAGAACAAACTGTTTCGTGCTGGCGGACGTCGTTTATCCTGCCCGGCCAAAGGAGGGAGGAAACCAGGGACATAAATTTTTTCAATGATTTTTGTTGTGTCATCCACTCCGTCTCCCAACTTTCATCCACAGTTTTGAAACGCAGATTTGAATAAACTATGTGCCTGTGCTCATGGCAGTTTCGAATTCTCGACGATTGCCGCGTAGCGTAGTTGCCAAATTCAAAATGTTACCCCCTGCTAGGTAAGTGGCACACAGATTTGCTTTCGTTAGGCAGAAATATCTCGCACATAAAAAGCTCAAGTTGGATTGAAAGAGATATCTAAGTGCATAAAGAAAATCTCTAGAAATATTCAAAAAGAGCAATGCAGTTTCATGTACAACTGATTCGTTTAAACTGAATAACTGGGTTGAAGGAAGATCCTGGTTGATTTCTATGTGCGCGTAGAAGGAACAGGGTGGCTAATTAGAACGCGGACTTAGAAGTCGTGGTCATTGGGAGAGTACATGGGAATGGATAAAAAAAAAGCCGCGTATATCAAAACTCGGCTGCGTTATCAAATCTGCATGCGTAAAAACAAAAGCTCTCGCTTCGAAATAGCACGTAGTGCCTATATCTAGCAGCTCACAACAGTTTCATCTCATTTTTTAATCTTTAAAATCAGGGCGCTAATTATGACATCAAAGAAAAAAAAGAAAAGAGCACAACTTGAGCATCCCTCTCTGTCTTGTGGTGTCTCATTCTGAGCTTTTAATTTTTCAGCTATGTTTCACTAACGATATCCCTCAAGAGGTACTTCAAGGCTATTAATGTCAAGTCACCCTGATACACAGATTTGTTTATTGGCACGCGAACTTCTATTGGCTGCTTCGTGATGCCATATGGAATAAAGTGATAGTTATTCCGAAAATGAACGTTACGTGCAGCCAGAGCACGGCTGCTCCGCAATCTCTAGCGCAAAATATGTTAACCTTTCAGTCATCTAGAACCAGTCACAGTGTTCGGTTTAAGCCCCAAAAGCGGCTATGCAGGAATCGAGAAATTTAGGAACGCTACGAATGCGCGTCACTTGACAGACGAACTCAGTTAAAACATTGCCAGCAGTCAAAGACTTAGGCAATTTGACAACGCGCATCATGGACCACTTTGACAATACTAATAGCTGCTATGATTTGTTAGCGATAACACGGAGAAGGAAAATATCTGAAGAAGTGTATTTGATGGGAAACGCTTCCGCGAACGCGCTACAGCCCTGCCAAGCGCGGCCGATCGATGCCCTCCTGTTTACGGTGGCGCCTCTGGTGGCCACTTGTGTCCCTATATGAAACTTTCGCGGGAGTTTCATGACCAGAAAAAAGTATTGAAGGACCATGGTCGTAGTAAAAACGCCACACTTTCGCCGCAAGGGCGAAGCAATGAATGCGATGGCAATGCCTTAGATTGTGCTGCTCTGAACTGCAAGCAGGTTGAAACGTACAGAGCACTGCTCACGAACAAATGACGCACGAAAATAACACACACAGGACGAGAGCGTACAAATAATCTCCACCACTCGACCTTTAACACGCTGTTTAAACCAAAACGACGCACGAAACGTCTTCACAGGTAAAGATGAGTGCCCACTAACAATTGTCCCAGTTTTTATGCTTCGCAGTGTATGAAGAGCGCGCTCTTTTTGTGAACGGGGCCTGCGTAGCTAGCGAATTTACTATTGTGGGCCCTACAAACTACGCAATCGTTCCAGCGAGAGCCGAAAGCAACTGCATAGCGAACAATAAGCGCCCGCGTGCAAGCATTTAACCCCCCTTCCCCGCCCCCGGGCACCAGAACAAGTACCCGTGGGAGATAAGGCGCGTCGGCGCAATGCGACGAGCTGGGTGCCAAGCACGGGCAGCATTTTGAAGACGGTATACTCTTTCTTGGGGACCTTCGACGCAAAAAATTTTGGTGTACATTTGTCTGTTTGTCCACTCCTAACGGCACCGGGTACATGAAAAGGCCGACCCCATCCGCAGCGCTCACCAATGTTGCTCAGGGTTTAGCTTCATACTTGTGCGATTGCCAATTATTAAGCAATTATTGTGCAAGTCTGGGGCACCATAACAACACGTATATATTTCTGCATGCGTATCTTTTACTAGAAAATGCATACATAAGTAATTTTAAGGACCGTAGCGCTTATCACGCTATGGTGACCACGCAACGCTTGCACGAAAAGGTGAGTCTTTCCAACGCTTTGCTAAGACGCGATGGTGGAAGCACCTACCCGTCGCCTTGTGTTCCTCACCGTATCACCTCTGAGACGGGCGCGCACACCCGTCTCAGAGCCACGCGCTTCGTTTTCACAGAAAACTGCCAGATGACGCTCTTGTCTCACGTGGGACGTGACTTGATGCGCTCGTTCGCCTCCGCTGCACGCTCGAGGCCCTCTAATGCAGCGCCTCCGAAATACCATTCAGCGATTTTCTTGCGCAGAACATCAAATTACTTGTTCACTCTCTCCACACGCAATACTACTGTCTTTCGACGACATGTGCAGATTATATGGAGATACGGGCCAATTTTAGGGGTGAAACTCCTTATAGCAGCACCCGTTCGTCCCTCGTAGTTTGTAACAAGTATAACATTTTGACCTCCAAGGTGGTGCCAGTGAGAGACTTCTTCTATGCGTTGTTGAACAATAAAAATTGTGCTCAATGTACATGTCAATGACTGCTAATGGGAAATGAGAGACAGGAGCATTCGACTTTTAGTTAACGCGCAGGCTGCGATCACCATTAGCAGCCATTGGCATGTACATTGAGCACTATCTGACAAGAAAGGGTTGCTACGTTAACTCGCTGGGTGTAACCTCCTTAGCTTTAGAAAGGTTTAGCGAGCGTTGAGCCGCAGTGCCATGAATACAATGAACTTGTATATACCATGAATTTTTATTTATT